CTTCCTTCCTTCCTTCCTTCCTTCCTTCCTTCCTTCCTTCTTTCTTTCTTTCTTTCTTTCTTTCTTTCTTTCTTTCTTTCTTTCTTTCTTTCAGACGCTCATAACTATAACTGTCTTGAAACTTGCTCTGTAGACCAGGGTGGCCTTGATTTTGCAAACTTTGCAAACATTTTCTGTTCTTCCTACTTACTTTCTTTTCTTCCATGTTTCCTTCCTTTCTTTCATTTATTATTTAATGTACATTAGTGTTTTGCCTGCATGTATATGTATTTGAGGGTGTCAGATCCTCTGGAACAAAAGTTACAAAGGATTGTGAACTTCTATGTGGGTGCTGGAAATTGAACCTGGGTCCTCTGGAAGAGCAGCCAGTGCTCTTAACTGCTGAGCCACCTCTCCAGCCCTGTTCCTACATTCTAAGTGCTAGGAATTTACAGGTATACACGAACTCATCTGGCTTTATGATAGTTTTCTTATGCTTGCCATAAAAATAAAATTATGTCATCCACTACCCTGCCATGTTTTATCAGCCTTTATGATTAAAAATTATGTGTAGTTCAGTTTTTACTTGAAAACCTACCTTATTTTTCATTCTACTTTATCAATAGATGATGATATTAATGATGAAGAATTTTATGATGATCATTTAGAAGCATATTTTGAACAACTAGCCATTCCAGGGATGATATATGAAGCAGGAGGACAGGAGTCACCAGAGAATGATTTTAAGTTCCCTGTAAGTGATCCCAGTCAAGTATGTTCTAGTCTTTTGTTTTTGTTTGTTTTTATAAAGAACTTTGACCTTGTAAATCACTGTCTTATTAGATTTTTTTGTGTTTTGTTTTGAGATATGATTTCATGTAGACCAGGCTGACCTACAACTCACCTTGATCTTCTCATCCATCTGCCTCCACCTCCCCAGTTGCTAGGATTAGAGTTTCCTGCCACCACACCTGATTCATTTTATGTTAATGTTATAAACTTAAGTCTATGGCTTTCCTGTGGACTTCAAACTGATGAAAAAAATTGATTTTCTTCTCTATTTTCTCTTACTTTGGTCTCACTTAAAAAAGTAAAAAAGGAGGTTAAGAATTCCAGCACTCAAGAAGCTTGTCCAGGAGGATAGGATTTCAAGGCCAGCATGGGTTACATGCAAGAAGACAAGAAAATGTAGTCAATGGGCATCCTTTTTCTGCATTAAGCAGTTAACATCTTGTTGCCATAGCATTTTTTTCTCTCTGGATCATTTGAAAACAAATAGCAAATGATTTATGACTATACACTAAAATTTATCACCAATGAATAAGAACATTTTCCAACATAGCCACATGCTATTATAATATACCTTTGATACAGTAGTTTAAAATTAAAATACATTTTATTCATATGGATGTTTTACTTGCATGTATGTCTAGACTACTTGCATGCACTCGAAGGCCAGGATAGGGTGTCAGATCTCTTGTGATTGCAATTTCAAATGGTTGTGAACCACTATATGGGTGCTAGAACCAAACCCAAATTCTTTTTTCTTTTTCTTTTTTTAAAGATTTATTTATTTTATATATATGAGTACATTTTGCTGTCTTCAGACACACTAGAAGAGGGCATTGGATTCCATTACAGATGGTTGTGAGCCACCATGTGGTTTCCGGGAATTGAACTCAGGACCTTTGGAAGAGCAGTCAGTGCTCTTAACCACTGAGCCATCTCTCTTAGCCCCAAACCTAAATTCTTGAGAATAGCTCTTCACCATTGATCCATCTCTCCAGCCTCTGATACATTGGATTAAATTAATGACTATATTCAAATTTGCTCAGTTATCTCTAAAATATTCTTTATTTTTACTGTTCGTGATTCATAGTTTAATCAAGTGTTTTATGATCTGTGGTTATTGGGTTTCTTTATTTTAACTTGCAGTTCATTCATGCGTTAAGCATTTTATACATTTTAGAAAACTTCTGATTACTATATCCCCTAATTAGAATAAGTTAGACATTTGGCAAGAACTTTAGTGATCCATTTTCCTCATGAGTAAGCTGGTTAAACATGGCTGCTGTGCATGCACTGCCTCACAGCAGTGGATGTATCTGTGCTTCTGCCATTGTTCTGTCTGGCATTGGCTTTCCCATGGGTGCTCTTTAGTAATGCCGTTGCTCATGTCTCTGATGCGGATGATTTTTTTTCTTTGTGATTAAATCATCTGTGGGATGACACATCAAGGCCTTGTAAACATCCTGTCTCAAGCAAGGCTTCACAAAGTGCTAAAGCTTCCTGGAATTAAGCACTAAACACTGGTGTTTGCCATGGTGGTGTTTCTGATTCTTTCTTATTGTCTGTCTAGCATCCGTCAGTAAGGCAGACATTCTGTTTTCCTCAAAATGTTCTTTTTTAATTTAAAAGAGGATATTTTCTTAACAGGCAAATGAAAACAGTATCTTAAACTGTGAATTTCAATCAGAAAATAACAGTCCTCTGGTTCCTCATGGTGCATGTACTTCAGGAAATTCTCCTACTACTGACACAGAGTCTGAGGAAGGCCATGGTTGTCTGCCAGGGACTAGTAAGTGTTGAAATATGATTTTTTTTTCCTTTTTTGATTTGTTTGACCCAAGATTTCATATAGTACCCTAGGCTGGCCTGGATCTTACTGTGTACTCCAGATGGACTTCACCTCATTGTAGTCTTTCAGCCTAGACTACTGACTACTGAAAGTTTAGGAATGGGCTGCCATGTCTGGCTCTCCTTTGTTCTTAAATTTGGGTTTGAGTTTACCTTTTTAGGAAAAAAAAAACCTTTGTCGTGATTAGTTTTCAGTTTATTTTCATTTTCCTTTTGAATCTTTAGCCCAAAAACTTTGAAAAGAGTTTTAATGCCTGAGCAAGAGGTCAGTTGCTTCCTGGTTAAATTTGTTTCTGAATGGTTTTGTATTATATGTTAATGTGAAACTGCAGTCATCAATTTTTTTTAACGGTTTTGTGTATATAATGACATTAGAAATAATTGTAATCATGTCTGCATGGTACTGGTAGAAATTCAGTAGCATGTTCTTAGGTGGCCATTTTAAATGATTGTGTCCGATTCAGACCTTGGAGAATGAGAGATCAGCCCTCTGTATGCAGCCAGCCTTCTCATGTTCACCCCTTATTGTGCTTGTTTTCACTTGTTTCCAATCTGCAGAATTTGTCATATGAATACTAAGTAATAACTAGGAAGACGGTTATTGCATTAGTCTACCTAGACTTTGATACTGTTCCATTAACCCTTTTTCCTTATTTTCAGGTGGCTGTGTAGGTACTGTAGATCATAAAAAGCAGGTAGATAATGTGTTATCTCTTTACTCTCATACCTGGAGAACTGAGAAGGAAGGGGCACGAAATATGAAGGATATTGTTTCAGATCAAAGCAGAGTAAGTTGGTGAACATTTTACCTAACTTCCTAGTAATCTCTCACGTTTGTATGATACCAGATTTTCAGAAGAAATTGTTGACCTCTGAAAAATACAGGAGAAATATAAAATTATTATTCCTATGTTTTGTGTTTGATTGTATGTATTATTGGCATCACTATTATACACTTGTGTAGAATTTTTTTGGTTTTAAGCATCTGAAGTCATGCATTTAGTTACTCATTTGAAAAGTTCTTTAGCCTAGTATGTAGTCATTTAATAAAGCACATAGCTGGGTGTGGTGATCTATGCATTTAATTCCTGCATTTGGACAGGTGCAAGAGGGTTAAAACATGAAAGTTAACTCAACTATATAGCTGAGTTCACACCTGCATGCGATACATGGGAACCTGTTTAAAAACAAAATTAAAAAGAAACAAACAAAAAACCCAAAACCTTTCTCAAGGATGTTTTCATGTTAGACTTTTCTTTTTGTTCTGATGCCACCTGATTTTTCCTGTCTTGAAACATGGTAGGCATTTCTGACTCTTTTTTTGTCTGTTTGTTTGTATGTGTCTGTCTAGCCTGGCTCTCTTCCCCTCCTTCCCTCACCTAGACTGAAATCGACTTACCAGTCTAAGGCAGTATTAATAACTTGCCCTCTAGATCTAACAAAGCTGCTTAAAGAAGGGCTATTTTGACAAGTAGTTTGAGGAGATGCAGTATTTCACTGGAGGGCTTTTTTTTTTTTTTTTTTTCAAATAAATAGTCCTGGCTGTCTTGGAACTCAAAAAATTTAGACTAGGCTGGCCTTGATCTCAGAGATCCATCTACCTCTGCCTCCTGAAGGCTGGAGTTAAAGGCATGTAGCACCCTGCCACCTGGCTCACTTGAAGGCTTTTATTTATACTAGTTTTATGCAGCTTGTTACACTAATGGGCTTGCTTTTGTAGAGACTTTTATTGGTAATTACAAATGTATAATTTACAGTTCTGCCTTGTGATTGACAGAGAGGCCTGCTTTTGGTTTATAAGTCCGTTGATGTGTGTAATTGGTATGACCATATTTTTTTAAGGTCTGGTTATTTATTTGTTATTCTTAAAGACTTATTTTTGACTGCACTTTGAATAAGGAAGGCTAGCATCTATCTCTTGGCAGTTGATTCCTGCTGTCTTTCTTTGGCTTTCTTCATTCTGTTGGCTAAAAGTTCAGCATGTTCCGCTGCCTCCAACTCCCTTTCTTAGTGTGTTTTCTCTTCGGAGCAGTGCATTGGTGTTTGAGTTGTAGGACAAGTTGGGTAAGTGACAAGATACCAAATCTTGGATGCTTTGGTCCTGAGCTTCTTACTTTGAGGCTTTCTGACAGTATATTGGCAGACACTATCTTCTTTAAAGAGATTAAAAAACTTCTGAATTCTTCTAGTTCATTTGGGCCTCAGTTGATAAGGCACATTAGTATTGTCCATTCACACACATCCTTCTCTCCTTTATTTTAACTTTCTAAATTATAATAACCAAGTTGATAACTTTTTATCCCCACTATTCATCTGTGAACAAACTTGAGTCTGAGCACATTTTAAATTGGGTTTTGGCAAATTTCTTAGCTTTAGTTCATACATAGTCCAGGATATACTGAATACTATATAGGCCATTTATTTATATAATAAGCATTTTATAGCAGTTACATTGCTTTGTCCATTAAATGTCAAAATGAGTGTGAAAAACAAAACTTATTGTTGTTCCATTAATACTTCTTAAAGAAATGTGGAGGAGAGGATATTGTGGTGAAGAGGCCGCATGCTGTGGATGAGACACTCAGATCTACGTGTAGCCACAGTTCAAATGAAACAAAAGGGGGCTTTGACCCAGCTGACTACATCAACCAGAATTCAGAATCTCCTCACCAAAATCAGCATTTGGCTTCAGATTTAGAAACAGTTCTGAATGTGGATAGATGCTTAAATACAGAGACTCCTACAGTGGTTATTCAAAAACATGGGAACCTTGCGTCTTCGAAGACTAATGGTGACAATGGAGTTAATTCTTCTGATACTCTTTGGTCACCAACCTGTGAAAGGAGAGCATGTGAATTTTATGAGTCTGGTGCAAAGACTAATGACAGTAAGTAGCCTATTTCATTTTAAATAGAATTAAAGAAGTGTAAGATGTTTAGGCTAAGCTTCCACATAGAACTCTATTTATGTTGAAGTATTTAAATGTTTTTATGGATTGAAAAAATATTCTTTAACAATTTCTTTTTTTATTCATAAACAATACATTCTGAGCACAGCCTCCCCTCCCTTCATCTCCCAGTCGCCCCCCTCCAGGTCCATTTCTCATTTCCCTTCAGAAAAGAGCAGGCCTCCAGGGATGTCAGCTGAGCATGGTATAAGAAGGTACAATACTGGGCACAAACCTTCATATCAGGGCTGGATAGGGTAACCCATAGGAGGAAAAGGGTCCCAAAAGCAGGAAAAGAGTCAGAGACAGCCCCCACTCTCATTGTTAGGAGTTCCACAAAACCCCTAAGCTAAACAACCATGTAATACATTGGTCACATTTGTCCCTCAACCCTCTCTTACCTTCTTTACCTACAAACTCCTCCCACCAGGTCCCTATCCCACCTTCATGTCTTATTTGTTTTTGTTTTGTGTTCCTCAGGGTTTAATCAGAGCTGGTAAGGTTGGTTGTGAGCCTGTCCTCTGGTGTCTCAACTCCCTAGTAATTACATTACTAAAGAAAAATTTCTCTCCCCCCATCAGCCCTTGAATGCCAGAAATTCCCCTGTGTGGGGCAGGACCCCATGAGCTCCTCTATATGTTAGTATGGATTTTAAAGATTTTAAAAATATACTAGTATTGCATGATTGTTGCTCAGAAATAATAATGTTAAGCAGACAGCTAGTGCAAATGTACCTTCCTTTTTCCCCATTAGACCTCATAAACTTGTGACTGAGTTTGTCTTGTTGCCATCAAAGGCATTTCCCTTTTTGGAGAAATGGATTTTCCTTTTTAAACTGATTTTGAGCAGACTTCAACACCATTGTTAAGTAAGTTAGTTGTTACATGCATCATTCAATGGTTTTGGTATTTACTCTTTAGAAATAGATCTCTCACAGAATGTAGTCTACCAAAATGAGGACGGCAAATGGGTCACTGACCTTGCCTACTACACATCTTTTATTGATCATCAAGATTTACAGATGTCTCCAAATAATGAAATGAATGAAGACTTCAGATCTGGTTGTAAGTATGGAGATAACCACTTTTATTGTGCCAGACTCATTGTTTATGATGATATTTTGAATCTAGTTGGCTTGTATTGGTCAGTCATATAAAATCCCTTCTGAAATACAATTGCATTCTGTAAGTTCTTTAAAATAAAAGATGTAGCAAACAGTTACAAGGTTTGGTAGAAGGAAACACAGATGAGGTTTTACATCACTTCTTTTTGTTGTTCTAACAAGTAAACTTTTGGGGACGGCATGGGACTATTTTAGTGTTTAACCAGTGGAAAAGTCAAGAGGCAAATGAGAAGATCATTATTTTAGGTTAGCCCTTTAGGACATTGCCCTTCTGATTCACTCTTCACCTTCCGTGAATCTTCACCTTTCTTCACAATCCTGAGGTCTGGACCACAGATGAGCAGGCCTGACTCTGGTCTCATGTATGTTTAAAATCCCCTCAGGCGGAGCTCTGCACTCTAGTGCTGTGGCTCCTGGGGTATAGACTAGGATGTGTTCTCAGGCACCCCTGCACTCCCATGAGAACAAAGATACTCATGAGGATCTTTAAGGTCAGATAGGAGAGGACTGCCTGTTTCCTGTTTGTTTTGGGGTATGGGACTCTCTGAGTCTAATATAGTTCTGACCAAACAAGTACCTGGAAATTCTAGTAACTAACTTGTAGAGAGACATTTCAGTCAGATCAAAGCCTGTGTATACATAGACAGCTTTTCTTTCTTTCTTTTCTTAAAGATTTATTTTTGTTACTTTAAAAATTCTGTGTATGTCTGTATAGGTATATACACTTGAGTGCAGGTGCCTATAGAGGAATTGGATCTCATTTGAAGCTGGACTTACAGGTGGCTGTGAGTCACCTGATAGAGGATTGAACTCTGGTCCCCTGGAAGAGTAGTGCATGCTGTTAACCACTGAGCCAGCTCTCCAGCTCTAGACAGATTTCTTTTCTTTTCTTTCCTTTTTTTTTTTTTTTTTTTTTTGGTTGGCTCTTTGAGACATTGAGACAGGTTCTTTCTACATAGCTCTGACTCCTAGAACTCAGTATGTAGACCAGGCTGGCTGCAAACTCACAGAGGCCTACCTGCTTCTGCCTTCCTCATGCTGGTATTCAAGGCTATGTCATCACACCCTGCCAGACAAAATTCTTAATTTGTGTGTACTCAACTTTTTAAAACTAAAATTAATTGTAGCCTTGCTTAATTTAAAGAATGAGTTTTTTTTTTTTTTTTTTTTGTGTGTGTGTGAATATTGCATTGTTGTGTGTGTGCTCTTATGCAGGTAGACAGATGGTTGCATCTTGTGCATCGTGTTTGGGATCAGGACAACCTCAGATATTTGTCCTTAACTTTATCCTTTTTTTAAATTTAGATAAGGTTTTCTCTTATCCTCTTATTCACTGCTGAACGGGCCCATGAGCTTTCAGATTCTTATATGTTCCTGCAGGATATAGGGGTTATAAGCATGTGTGCTACTGTGTCTGGCTTTTATATGGGTATTTGGGATTTGAACTTAGGTCTTCCTGCTTACATGGGAAGTGCTTTACCCACTTAGCAATTTCCTGAGTCTGGAATATTTCTTATAAATGGATAGAAATCTTGCTATTAACCAGGTTGGGCTCATGCCCCTGGGCTCAATTGGTTCTCTTACCTCAGCTTCCTGAATGGCTGGGACTCTAGGCACATGCTATCATGATTGCACTTAATTGGAATTATGTGTAAATACTTTCCAACAATCAACTAGGGCAAATTTTCACAACTGAGATCAGTCAGTCATGGTAGTGTATGTTTTAATGGAAATTTGACAACCTTACATACTTAATATAATTGTATAAATTGTGTCAATGGAAGTTTTACATACTTAAAAAAATGTGTATTTCATGAACTAGGGAGTTGGCTTAATGGATAAAAGTGCTTGCTGTACAAGCAGGAGGGCCTGCGTTCTGATTCCCAGTATTCATGTAAAGACTCGTGGGAAGGTGCTAGTGCTATGCTCTTGTAACCCCTTTGAGGGCTGGGGTAAAATGGGCAGATGCTAGGAGCTTGACAGGACACTGAAAAACAGAGACTTTTCTCAAAAATAAGACTTGAAGCACTAGAGGAAGACACTTGAAGTTAACTTGTGGCCTCTAGAGCTGACAGGTACACCTGCAGAGGTACACCTCCTCCACATATGCACTCGTCCCCATGACAAAGTGTTTTCTTATTATTTCATTTTTTAAATTTGCTTTTCGTGTGTGCTAATATAAATGTAATTATATAAAGTTGTTTTTCTTTAAGCTGAAGCATTGGATTTAATTGCAAAAGATGAAGAAGAATTCAATAAAGAACATCCATTTATACAGGTTTGAAATTACTTGTTCCAACCTAAATTTAATTTTTTCTTGTATTAATTCATATTTAGACAAAAAACTCCATGTCCCACCCCTCCCCACCCCCCCACCCCCAGCAGTTAGTATAGAATTACTTCACATTTTTTTTTTCTTCATGTTATGGCAACTTTAACTTTTTTGTCCTAAGTTATTAGCCTAAAAGTGATATACTAAAACATATCTTTATAAGAGAATGTAGGTTACAGGCATAGTAGTTGCCTGGTACATTAAACCCTGCCCTTCATTTCCAGTGCTGCACATACTAGCCATAACAACCAAACAGTAACTGTATCTTTGTTTTTAAAGGTCCACACTTGTTTATTTATTGTGTGCCTGTGGTGGGGATGCTTGGGGCCAGCATGTGATGGCTGGCACATGTATAGAGATCAGAGGACAACTTTTGGGAGTTGATTTTCTTCTACCCATGTGCCTTGGGGACCAAGATGATGTTGTCATTGTCAGACTAGTGGCCTAAATTTTTAAAAAAGAATTAAATAAAATTATTTTTAGATATGTGAATATATGCTTAAATAGGTCACTGCAGAGACAAAATGGTACCAGATTTCTCTGGAGCTATAATTACAAGCAATTATGAACCATCTGATAGATGTGGGTGCTGGGAATAGTTTTTGGGTCCTCTATAGGAAATACTTCACACTCTTGACCACTGAGCCATTAACTCTAGCCCCTAAACTTACCTTTAACTTACTTAAAATTGTTTCTAAAATTTCCATGGATGTCTCTGTGATTTAAAAAAATAGGGTTTATAGAAGGTAATCCTATTGTATGTGGTAAAGATGTGTATTTTCTAATTTGTTACAGTGTTTAAGAAACTTATTTCAGACAGTACATATTGTAACACGTATACAAAAATGAGTTCTTCTTTAGACTTCAGTAGTTATTCATCCTTAAGTTTATCTAAATGTTTTATACCATGTTTTGAAAAAGTTAGTTTTTAAGTTTTTCCAGTTCTTTTAATTTTACTTTCACACTTTAGAAAGACAAAGAGAAGCCTTGTTGAGGAAAAAAAATGAAACAATAACTTTATTTTTTCTAGGATGAAAAAATAGATGTTCAGAACACTTCAGTGGCACTTGGAGATACATCTTGGGTAACGACAGTTAATTACTATTTATTGAGAAAATCTCTTGGCACATCAGATTTCGATAAAGATGATGGCAGTTATCTACGCCTGTCATTAGGAGAGTTCTTTGCACAAAGATCTGAAGCTCTTGGTTGCCTTGGTGGTGGTAAGAATGTGAAAAGAGTAAGTATGAAATATGCTGAAAGTGGTAAAGACACCCATGTTCCTTGTGTGTCGCTGGACCACAAGCCCCAAGACTGGATAAGCTGTTGTAGCAACTCATAGTGGGGAAATGGGTATGCGTGAAAGAGATGTGTGTAAGAGAAATCGAAGAGAACCAAACTTACTTTAAATAACTCTCTTTTGCCTTTACTTGGAGACTTTTCTGAGACCTACCTTAATGTCTTCCTAAGGGCACATCCTTCTTAGAACAAAAGCCTCTGAGAGGCCCTACCATCTCATAATCTTGGGGACCAAACCTCAACATGAGTCTTTGTGGGGATAGCCACAATCCCAGGGTTCTTTGACTTTGAATGTTAGGATGTTCTATTTAGAATATAACAATTTTAAAGCATAGACAGAATGGGAACGTGGCAGAATGGTGGTTAAAAGCTTAGGATTTGTGGTTAGTCAGACCTGGTTTCAGTTCTGGTTCTGCCTTTTAACTAGCTCTATGACACTGAATAGTTTGTCTTCTATGCCCTAATTTCTCCATTTCTAAAGTGTAGTGCTATTTGTGGGATTTTGTAAGATTGAAATGTGTTGCTACATATGAAGTAGTTAATGCAGGTATGCACTGAGTAACTTTTGATATTATATGGTTGATTGGTAGGAAGAATTCTAGTATTCATTTATTCCATGCATCTGCAAGGTGTTTTAAAATGTTGGAATGTTGTGATTTAAAAAAAAGTGATAGTTATACATATTTTAAAAATGCAAACAGTTCATGTAGTGGTAAGTGTTCTAAGGAATGACTGAGCAGAAAGTGGCTTCACTCTGCTGTTTAGAATGTTGTCTGAAGGGATGACATGGAACAAGGAGGCAGCCATCCAGAGATCCAGAGGAACAGTGTTCCTGGTAAAAGAAAACCATATGTGTGAGACCCAGAGACAGGTATCAGAGTGGTTCATCAAAGGCAGATAGAACTAATGTGAGGGGCCAGGGCGAAGGCAAGTGGGGTAGGATATTGGTGATATCTCAGTTGAACTTCCAGGAAGGCCTTGGAGTCAGAGAATAACTTGGTCATGTTGCTTAGGTTCAATTCCACATTGCCACTACCTTTGCTAGGAGCCTGAATGGTGAAAGCCAGTAAAACACAGAGGAGGCACAGTTGGCAGAGGCTTGGCCAGTGGGAAGAGAGGGGGTGACAGCTGGGACAAGTGTGACCTGTTGAAACACGAAGGTGCAAGGATCAAGATTTATTCTACATAGTGAATTTGAGTTGCAACATAATTTGTTAAATTTATATTGAAGAGTGTTTATTAAAGCTGAATTCACTAAGAGCATGTGTTAGCTTCCTAGTAAAATGATAGTAAAATGGCTAAGATTCATTTAAAGAAAGTGGGGCTTATTTTGATTTATGGTTTCACTCGGTGGTTTGGCTTTGTTGTTTTAAGCCTGTATCAGCACTTTGCATCATAAGAGTGTGGCAGAGGAAACTACCTCCTGGCAGCTAGGAGGGAGCTAGGGGGAAGGGAGGGGAGAGAAAAAAAGGAAGAGAGGTAGCAGAGCAAAGAGGGCAGAGGGGAAGAGAGAGAAACAAGGAAGGAAGTGACTGGGATCCTCATGTCCCCTTCAAGGGCATGCACTCAGTGACACAACTTCCTTCTATTAGGTGTCACCTCTGAAGGTTCCATCACCGTCCAGGAGTGCCACACTGCTCACTAGGCCTTAGTACATAGGCCTTGGCCCACTCCAATATAATGAAATCAGTTTCTTGAATAGAACATAAAACATTTTAAAGAAGATTTATTTACTTTATGTTTGAGTATTTGGCTTTATATATGTATGTGCACAGTGCAGTTGCATGGTGCTCATGGAAGTCAGAGGAAGTTAGATCTGGGGAGTTGAAGTTACATGAGCTTGTGAGCAGAGCCGTCATGTAGGGTGCAGGGAATTGAACCTGGGTCCTCTCGAGGAGCAGTCAGTCCTTTTAACTCTTGAGCCATCTCTCCAGTCCCTAAATTAATTTTAAAAAATTACGTGTATGCATGTGTCTGTGTGTATGGATTTGTGTACATCCATATAGAGCCTGTAGGGCCAGGAGGGGATGTCAGACCCTGGGGCTGGAGTTATAGGCAGTTGTGAGCTGGGAACCAAACCTGGGTCCTGCACAAAAATGGTATATACTTTAACTACTGAACCATTTCTCCAGCTCCTCAGAACGTAAACATGAAATCATGGCTTTGAACCATCTGATCCATGTAGTGAATTAAAAAATGAAATGCTTTAAAGAGGTAGATGGATTGGGGTTTTAGAGACTATGAAAGAAATAGAAAAATAACCATTCCTTTTGTATTGTCTTGTTTTTAAGACAGTGTCTCACTATGTAGCCCAGGCTGGCCTTGAACTTGTAGTTTTCTTGTTTCATTTTACTCTGTGTTCAATTGTAGTTGTGCGCCATTATACTTGGCTCTGAACATTTTTTATTTTCTTGCTTTCTTCCTTTCTTGCTTTTTTTTTTTTTGTAGATCCATCGTTTTATTTATTTTTTTAAGAAAGAAGTAAAGTAGTCTTTATTCTTAGATGACATATTTTTATGTGAAAACCTTAAAGTTTTACTAGAACTTAAAGCGACTGTAGTCAAGTGTACCAAATCAATGAAAAATTAAAGGATCTTTCTATAGACTTTGGAAGTTTAAGTTATTAAAATAACTGTGTCACAATAACAGTGCAGAGAACAAAACATTGGAGAATAAATTTAACAAGAAAAATTTAAGACATATTCACTGAAAACTACTAAACATTACTGAGAAAAATTAAGGGATTGCCCTTTTGCACAAGGGCAAAGATATTTCTTTTTTTTTTTAAATTATATACGTTTGGATTAAAGGCGTGCGCCACCACCGCCCGTAACCTTTCTTGCTTTTTTAATATAGGGGATGTAGCTAGCTCTGGCTAACCTGAAAATTGTAGAGCAAGCTGGCCTTGAAGTCATAGATTTGTCTTTGCCTCCTAAGTGGGTGTTCGGATTACAAGTATGTGCGACCATGTGTTGCTCTCTGAACTGCTTCCTAAATAGATGAAAATAGCATTAGATCTTGGGAAAAGAGGTCTGACTCAGAGATTTTGTTTTGGCATTGTGAAGTTTCATATATTCAACTTACTGGATCCAGGGAAGAAGCTTCCAAATCAATGTCAACTAGAATCTTTAAGACATATTTTAGATCTGCACTATGAAAGTCATAAGAAAAGTGCAAATTCAGTTCTCTTTAGTAAGCTCCTTGAACCTAGATCTTTCTGAAACTTAATGAAAGTCACTGGGAGTATGCTTATTTTCAAGGCGTGTTTTCTTCAGATTAATCTATATATAGAGCAAGATATGCATTATTTAAGTTCTACAACATTTTTACCAGGCCCTATTCAGAACAATGCCAATAAACAGTGAGTGTTCATAACAGTTATTGAAGGACTGATGGAAGTGCTGCCTCTGAGTTGTTTTTGACTTGTTAGGAACGCTTAACACCATCAGTTACAATGACTAAATGATAGCTGTGACTGAAGAAACAAAAGGTTTTGTCTGAAGCAAAACCTCTTCTCCCCATGTTGGATGTAGTGCTCAGGTCTTTGCGTGAGCAGACAGGTGCCATCATAGGTAAGCAGCTCACAGGTTCTGTCTGGGCTTTAAAGTTCACCTCTAGATTTCTGAAGTTACATGTCAAGAATGAAGTCATGTGGGATGTCTTAGTTGTAGTAGATAAAGTAATCTAGAGCTTTTCAAAGTAGCTGGAAGTTAAGGAAAATTAATTTGTGTTTAATTATTTTTGCAGCCATCATTTGGTTATTTTATTAGATCACCAGAGGAGAGAGAGCCTGTTGCGTTAATAAAACCTGATGTGTCAAGAAATGATCTGGAGAAAGAAGCGACTCGTCTTCACCAGGGTTTCTCCTCAGGTAGTGAGTGGATTAAATGAAAGACTTGAAGGAACTTCTGTCTTAATTTGTAATTGTGTGATCGTGTTCTCTGGGTGAAGATGTATACTATACACTGCTTTTTAACATCCCACATGGGTTGTAGATTTTTTATTTTTTTATTTTCACATCTCCTTTTCAACTGAAAGTAGAAAAGAGAGATAGAATCCACCCAAATTTTTGTATAAACTACTATAGCAAATGTGAATAATTTAAAATGACCTAGTTAAATTAGGCTTATTAAATTATTACTGTTAAGGAATAATAGAAATAGCCGGGCGGTGGTGGCGCACGCCTTTAATCCCAGCACTCGGGAGGCAGAGGCAGGCGGATTTCTGAGTTCGAGGCCAGCCTGGTCTACAGAGTGAGTTCCAGGACAGCCCGGGCTATACAGAGAAACCCTGTCTCGAAAAACCAAAAAAAAAAAAAAAGGAATAATAGAAATTAGAGATGCTATGAAATTTAAAGTAGACTACATATAACATTCCTGCAATATCTATAGAATTTTTTTCTTTTTTTGTGACAGGGTTTCTCTGTGTAACCCTGGCTCCCCTGGACTCACTCTGTAGACCAGGCTGGCCTTGCACTCAGAGATCCTAAAGGTGTGTGCTACCACTCTCAGCTAATAGAAAATATTTTAAGTTACACTTTGTTCATTAGCTAAGTTATTGAGCCATTCCTTTTTGCTAATCCAAAAGCTCTATTGAATAATAGTGCTCCATCCTTTTTTAAGAATTATTTTATTGTATGTATCTGGATATTTTGCCTATCTGTGTATCTGTGCACCATGTTCATGCCTACCTAGTGCCTGTGGAGCTGCTGTGTGTTTGCTAAGGATTTAATCCAGGTTCTCTGAAAAAGCAGCCAGTGCTTTTTAACCACTGAGTCATCTCTACGTGTGGATGTGTCTGTGTTCTAATACAGGATGAAGGATGTAGTTCATTTTTTGTCATTCTGAAAAAGTATATAATTTTGAAATCAATTTTTGAAGCCCAAATAATATTAAATTAGTTTATATAAATAATTTAGGGGAGACCAAAATCCACAGACTTCCTTCAGAGCCTATCCTTTGTCCAAATGTCTGTCATTTAAACATTCTTACTGAGGACAACTTAACATTTACAGTACAAAGATATTTTTCCCCCCTTGGCATTTTATAATTTTGACAAGTACTTTCTTATCAGATTATTTCCAAGGGGTAACACATGTCTTTAAGTTGAATATTGTTTATTTCCTGTAGGAGACTTGAATGAACAGTCCCAGGCACAGCTAAGTGAAGGATCGGTTACACTTAAGGCTGAAGAACTGCAGAGAACTTCCCAGGTGGATGAAGATGACATGACACTGACTGCCAGCAGAAGCCAGACAGAGGTAGCTCAAGCTCTCCCTAAAGGATACCTTAGATTATCTTATTATGGTTTTCAGATAAGATGGACCAAGGTCATCTGTGAAAAATATATGCCCTTACTTTTCTGGCTTCAGTTTTATTACAGTGTCCTTTAAATGAGAAACATTTAAAAAATAATTTATAATGTACATATAGAAGAATGTATAAAACAGACTTACAGTGAACACATTATCACAGTTTGTGTGTCCCAGATCAAAAGAAAGAACCCTGAGGTGTGTACATGCACTCTTTGTTTTGTGCCATCTGATGTCCCTCTTGACTTGGCCAGTAGACAGACTGTCAATGTTTATTTCCAGAATCATGAAAAGTAAAAAAAGAATGAAAAAAAATAGAGTTATTGTCAATAATTTAGAATTCTTTTAAAAAATTCTTCTAAACAGTACTTATTACTAGTGCACTAGTAATAACTAGTAATACTAGGTATAGTATTATAATACTATAATTCTTGCCTATTTTTAACTTTGTATAAAAGACATGCAGCATGCATTCTTTTTCTTTGACTGTTTTTGCTTCAGTTTTTACTTGCTAAAGGAATTTATAGACAGTCATTTTCCTTAGAGTGCTGTGTTCTGTTATATGAATGTTAGTGAATGTTTGGGCTGTTTGATGTGTTGAAACAACCTAGTAACTTTGTCTTGTTGGCTGACCCACTCCACCACCCCTCTTCTGTGTGTGTCTCTGTTGAGTGCAACTGATGGTTCACACATAAAGTTTGTGACTTACACTGAAGTTCCTTTGGCATAGTCAATATAGTTGTCTCTTGGTGGTCTGTAATAATTTGTGTTGACATATGACCTCTCTTGACAGAGTGGTATTGCTAACCATTTGAGTAGCCCTGTAGTGGGACTTCTTGTTTTAATTTGTATTCCTCTGATTGTTAATGAAGTTAAGTACTTTTATACTTTTATTGGTCTTTTAGGTGGTGTCTTTTGTGAAATTCCATTTCTTGGATTTCTTTATATTTTTTGGTAGGATCCTTTGGCCAGTCATGAAAGTTTTACCTATTTTCTTCCAGTCTGTGACTTATCTCCACTTTTTTCTTCAAGATAGGGTTTTACTGTATAGCCCTAGATAGACTTGGATGAACTATGTTGTCCAGGCAGGGCTTGGACTTCTGTAAGTCTTCCTGTCTCAGCCTTCCTAATGCTGTGAAGTCACATGGGAGCCACCACGCCTGGCTTATTAGCCTTTTCACTATTTTTTATTTTTAAATTACTTATTTAATTTTATTTTATGAGCATTGATGTGAGGGTGTCAGATTTCCTGGAACTGGAGTGTTTTGTCTTTCATTCCATGTTTTGGTACATCATATTTTCATTACTCAGTTTCTTCCCTTTATCCTTCCCAGTCTACCTGTATCAAAGCTTTTCTCTCCCTTCCTCCTTCCTGTTTTGGCTATTGCTGAGAATTGAACCCCTGACTCCACACATTCTTAGGCAAATATTCTTCTATTGATTGATATCCCCATCTCTGTTCAATGTACTTGGAAAAACTTAGGTTTTTAAGCATTTATAAGATATTCCAGATTTAAAATTTTAGTTTTACTATTTTAATGATTTATTTTTTAAATTATGTGTATGTTGAGGGTAGGGTCTAGACATGTGTGTGGGTGCTACCCCTTGGACTTTGGAGTTGTAGGGAGTTGTGAACCGCTTGACATGGGTGTGGGAACTGAACTCGGGTCTTTTGTCAGATAAATTATGCTCTTATCCACCAAGCCATCTTTCCAGTCCAGTTTTCCAGATTTTAAAGTAATTGGTTTTATGTTGCTTGTTGTGTGTTCAAGATTTTTCTTAGTCATTTATTTTATTAAGACATCTTCATTGTGTCTGGATTTGTTCAGTTGAAAATGCATTTTGGGGCTGGAGAGATGGCTCAGCAATTAAGAGCACTGATTGCTCTTCCAGAGGTCCTGAGTTCAATTCCCAGCAACCACATGGTGGCTCACAGTCATCTGTAATGGAATCAGATCCCCTCTTCTGGTGTGTCTGAAGACAGCTACAGTGTACTCATGTGTATAAAATAAATAAATCTTTAAAAAAAAAATGAAAAAGAAAATGCATTTTGTTCACTTGAAGATACCTGTTCTATAACTATTGTCTTCCTCTTTGTTTCATTAATGCTAAGAATGATAGTTGGTTGAATCTTAAAATTATTGTCCAGGTCATCAGACTTGGAGGCAACTGTCTTTACCCACTGAGCCATTTTGCCAGCCCTTTACTTTCAGTTCTTTTTTTTTTTTTTTTTTTTTTTTGGTTTTTCGAGACAGGGTTTCTCTGTGTAGCCCTGGCTGTCTCGGAACTCACTCTGTAGACCAGGCTGACCTCGAACTCAGAAATCTGCCTGCCTCTGCCTCCCAAGTGCTGGGATTAAAGGTGTGTGCCACAACTGCCCAGCAAAACTAACTTTCTTCCTCCTACTCCGTACATCTGTCCTTCCTTCCTTCCTTCCTTCCTTCCTTCCTTCCTTCCTTCCTTCCTTCCTGCTTGTTTGTTTGTTTGAGACAGTCGCTCATGTAGCCCAGATTGGTCTTGAACTCATTGTGTAACTGAGGGTGACTGAATTGATCTCCTGCCTACACGTCCCAAGTGCTGAGATTATAGACATGTATCAGCACACTGAACAAATGGGATGCTTTTACATAAGCTGTTGGGTTCCAGTTACTCTCAGCAGGAAGTTAGCATTACCTATCCTGCTGTTACCAGAGGTACATGTTATGTGTGGTATGTGTTTACCATCGATAGTAGTTTATAGTTTTTGCTCTTGGGCCCATCTCAGTTTTATACCTATGGTTCCCATTATGTCTTGCTGCACCTAATTTATAAATTAAGTTTTGTCATAGGTTTGTTTATTGTCTAGGGATAAGTATATATATAGTTTGGTATGCCGTCTTGGAACATAGCCCTTGGATAACAGAAGACTACACTAAAGATTAATCTGTACATGCCATTGTAAGTGGAGTGAGTTAATTTAATAAAAGTTTCTTGCTTCTAGGACACTTTCTGCAATAATAACAAGTTTCAGGAAAATAAAAACACACTGTCTGGTGGTGAAGATTCTGTACTTAGAATAAGCACCATTGCTTCAGCCATTGCAGATGTGTCAGTGAGTACTGATCCTGCCCAGCTTGTTGCCATGATGAAGGCACTCACAAATAAAGGAAGAGGCAAGACTTTCCAGGATGATGAGACACAAGAGGACTGTTCAATCATCTCTCATTTTGTACTTAATGATTTAGAAAAAAGTAACAGATCCAATGCATTTGATATGGAGAAGTACCTTACAAAAACAGAACTTAGTAGCTGTGAAGGCGCACGAGAGCCCTTTTCAAGAGCAGGCACATCTGACATGTGGGATTTATGTTTGCCCGAACAGCAGACTGTTCAAGACATGAGTAAGGTGAATGTTTGTGCTACTAATACAATGGAAGCCGAAGAAAATACAGCAGCTATTTCCGGTGGTGGAAACATAGAGAGTGATACCCAAGAATCACTTAGAACAATAACCTCTTCAGATTCAGTTCTTACAAGCATGAGAGAGAATAGAAGCACAGCCATGCGGAGGATGACATGCTCTGTTGATGAATTACTGGATATGCGGAACAGTCAGAAAGCTGCGTCAGTTTCCGTTGTAGCATCCAGGAGTGACCTATCATTAAGGAATCCCAGAGTACCTTCCTTTAGCATTGTAGAACAATGTGAAGAAATACAAGATAACCAGGAACACAGAAGGAAGAAAGAATGTGTCAGCGAGACCAGCTGCAGTGACAAGCATGTCACCTTTGAAGATGGTCACACAGTCTTACGTAAAAGTGTTGGTAAGTATAGTGGCTGATCACATTGCAGATGTGTGGAATTGTTGTTCAGTGGTGTTTTCTGTTCTTATTGGAGAATGCACCTTTCTCATAGATTTGAAAACTGCCTCTCCTGAGAGTGGTAGCTCTGGCTTTCAAGACCAGGAGAGCTTCAGACTGTCTACGTCACCACTCAGTCATTCTTCTCCCAGTGAAATTTCTGGAAACTTCTCAGGGTAGGTGCTTGCCTCAACCTTATTTTTATTTATTTCTTTCTGTTATTTGAGAATTTCATATAGGCATATAATGTGTTTTGATCAGATCAACCCCTACATAATTATTAATTTAAAAAAATATATGTATAGGAAAATTAAATTATAAAAAAATCAAAAAGAAGAAAAATCTCCCATTTTTAGGTTCATTTATTAAAGGCAGTACCTAAAATGCTTTGAATTTCTTTACTTCAGTTGTTTCCCCACGTTAGTTTATACTGAGAAAGGGTCTTCGACAGCCTACAGCTCCTGTTTGTCTAGTGAAGCCAGTAAGCTTTGGGCAGCAAGCTCCTTAGGTTCCTCCTATCCATTCCCCGAACTGGCATTGTCAGTACATACTGTCACACCTGATGGGCTTTTGGTTTGTTTTCATTGTTGTTGTATTTCTTTACATGGGTGCTGGGGATTCAAACTCAGTTCCTTATGATTGCCTGTAAGCACTTTACCCACTGAGCCATTTCCCCAGAGAGGAAAAAGTTTATTCTAGCTTGCATGCCAGGCTACAGTCCATCATTGAATAAAGTCAGGGTGATAATTCAAGGCAGGAACCTTGTGAATGCTGCTTGCTGCCTAAGTCTCTGACTAAAAGAGTCATGCTTAGCTAGCCTTCTTATACAGTCCATGCCTAGGGATGGTGCCACTTAAGACAGTGATGGCAATTCCTCACAGACATGCCCACATAGCAACCCAATAAAGATAATTAAGACTTTTTTCAGGCAATTCTAGACTGTTTCAAGTTCACAGTTTAATGCTAAGTAGGACAGGGACTTTCATGGTTTATTCAGTTTTTCTAGTATTGTTTAGTATATCATTTGTGTTTTGCTATCTTGTTTTTTTGTTTTTGTTTGTTTGTTTTTGGGTATTTATTTATTTATTTATTTATTTTTGAGACAGGGTTTCTCTGTATAGCCTTGGCTGTCCTGGAATTCATTCTGTAGACCAGGCTGGCCTCGAACTCAGAAATTAGCCTGCCTCTGTCTCCCAAGTGTCTGGTTGTTTTTGTTTTTTATTTGTGTTTTTGAGACAAGGTTTCTCTGTGCCCTGGCTGTCCTAGAACTTTCTCTGAGAACCAGGCTGGCCTCTAACTCACAGAGATCTACACACCTCTGCCTCCCAAGTGCTGGGATTAAAGGTGTGTGCCATCACGTCCAGTTCAAGTGTTTTACTATCTCTTTTTTTTTTTCCTACTATCTTTTAAGGATTATTTTATTTCATGTGTATGAGAATTTTGATCATATATATGTAAGTGTACCATGTGTGTGCCTGGTGCCTGAGGAGACCAGAAGATGTCAGATATCCTGTGGAGTTCTAGACAGCCATGTGAGCTGCCATGTGGGTGCTGGGAATTGAATCCACTGGCTGCAAGAACAGCCAGTGCTCTTAACCTCTGGGCCATCTTTCTAGTTCTAGTTCTGTTTTGCTAATTTAATAACGTTGAATAGTTTTCCTTTAATTTTTAATTCTGTAAATGTTCTCTTTTCTGGCTTCATAAGAGATTGTTCAAGAGTTTTCTCTGTTGAAAGATACTAATGAGCAAATTGAGTAGTTACTGACATTTCAGAGCTATCTTCTTTCTTAAGCTTTCTTCCCCCCACCCCCTTGTGAATTCAGGCATTATTTCTGAAAAATATTTTCCTGTTTCATTTCCTTCTGCCCTTAGGAGAGAATTCTCATGATACATTTGTGGAATAAATTTTAAAATTTTAAAATTACACTTATCTGTGGGTATGTGGTGATTGTACTCACATTCATGAAGGTGCATGTGCCTCAGTGCATGTGGAGGGGTCAGAGGACAATCTGTTGAAGTTGGTTTTCTCCTTCTACCATATGAGTCCTTGGGGTCTCAGGTCATCAGGTTTGGCAGCAAGCACCTTTTCTTGCTGCACTATCTGAGCAAACCCTCCCTAGGCTGTGGTTGCTGAGCTTTCTTCTTTTCTTCCCAGATTTGGGCTGGAGGCTGTGATGTGGCTGATGAAGAACAGAATAAGCTAGAAGTAACACCAGTGTGTGTGTGTACGCATGTGTTAAATAGATGTGGGTTTCATAACAAAGGCTGTTTTATCTTTTTTTTTTTTTTTGGATGGGTCCTAGTAACTGATACCCAGGTTTTCTTTTAGCATGATCTGCCACTTTGCCACATCCTTAGCCTTCATCCACTGGGTTTTTTTTTAACTTAATATATTATATCTTTCTGAGCCAGAGGATAGTATTCAGCACCATGGTTTAGAGTTTCTGTTTTGTTATATGTTAGCAATGAGAACAAGCATTCTGCCATTGAACTATATCCTCAGGCCTCATAGCATGGGTTTTGGTGGTTAAGGATGTTTTGTTGTATGCTTGTGCCATGCCTTAGTTCATCTTGTACAGCATTTAAGCTTCCTACTTTATTATCAAAATTATACCTTTTATGAAGTACTTTATATTTATCATTATTTTTTTTTCCATCTGGATGAATTCCTCAAATACAGAGTATCTGAATCAAGGAGCTTAATTGTTCAAACAAAAGTAGTTCACTTTATCTGTTTTTACATTTTATTGCCTTATCTATGCCATTTTCTGTCTTGATTTTGCTGTTTGAGGATAGCGACTTTTTTTTTTTTAAATGGTTTTACTAACTGCTGTTTGTTAGGTACTCAATAATTTTTTTATTAAATGAATAACTAATTGTTATGTGTCTATATGTGGTATTTACTAATGAAAATGAGGCAACCTTTTCTTTAATGGTAGCTTACCAGGTAGGTAAGGAATATAACCGATTAAAGATAATAAGTTTGTGGTTGAGTTTCTTCAAGTTTATAGATAGACAGGAGTGGTCATTTGCTTATATAGAATCTAACACCATGCTTGTATTTTTCTTTCAGATGTGTTCTGGAGTCTTTTGATTCAGCTTATCACCAGAGGCCCCACTTAGAGAGTGAGTTGTCTCAGTTGGCATGTTCCCATGCTGACATGAGCAGGCTGACTTATGTGTCTGAACAGGAGAACACCCTTCCTGTCACAGAGGACCACAAGGTGGGTGGCACTTGGACTGTTTCTTTAGTAAGGCTTTGAGACCAAAAGTATTGGTGATGCTTGACTCAGACTGGAATCTGGTCTGTTTAACTTCTGTATCTTTAGAATGAATTAATGTGTGTATGCATTTGTACTTATGTCTCTACATTGGCTTCTGCCCACTTCAAAAGAAAAATCTTTGACCAAGGTTGAGAGCAGCATAGATCTCAGGTGTAATCATAAATATTTAGGAGACACTTTGATAACATGTCCTTTTAGCAAAACACTAGTAGTAGGTTCCCTTGGGGTTTATGACCCCCCCAGCCATGGGCCTTTGACCAGGATTACAGTATTAGGTATGACTTCCTTCCCTTGTAGCAGCCCTCAAATTCAGTTAGAAAGCATTTGATTACCCTAACAGTTGTCTGTTAGGCCACTATTGCCCCAATGAGTTCTTCTGTCTTGGCAGGTCAGTATTGTAGCAGATAGGGTCCCACACTGTGTAAGCCCATTGATGACTTTTCTCCTGTGATTGGTATAACATCTTTCAATGTGAAGGCTAGCCAACAGGGAGGAAGTTTCTGGGTCAGGTCTAGCTTAATTTTTTCCTATGCTCTGCAACCAATGTGTGTTTTCAATAATAGGTTCTTATCTAGTTATGGTGAGCAGCGAAAGCATCTTCCTGACCATTAGCTCATAGGAAGGTATTGTACACCTGCCACTGGAATTTTCAAACTCATGTTTTCTAGAGGAAGCATTGTTTGCCCATGCAGTGTACCTCCACTCAAACTCCTTTTAAAATAAACTTACATTTTTAATTAGCTTACAAAGCAGTGGGGTTCCATAAGCTTTTGATATATATCTTTAGTTTAAAATAATTCATTCCTGTCGCCTGTCCCCTGTCTCTCTCAGCACAGTGTTTTAACTGCTGAATGACGGGATCTGGCAACCTCTCTGCTACTTTCTTGGACTATTAGCCCTCTCTAATCCTATTTTCTTCATCTTTGTGAAGGCTTGTGGTGTGAAGTCAGTGCTTACCACTTAGTAATTTAATCCATGAGACATTTTTTTTTTTGTTGCTATTAGTAATTGACCAATAATTTGGTCTCTCTTTATATCTTTGTTTTTAAACCTTTGGCTTAGAAGTAACTTTCAGTGCAACTAAAAATAATAAGTGAGAGTTAAATATGCCCTTGGAGGTTAGTTCTAGACTGTTCATCTTGCTGATTTATAACTCTTATTCTTCAGGTTGTACATATGAGGAAATAATAAAAAATAACCATTCTATAGTTTAGAAATTAGAAAAGGCTTAGTGTTTACAAAAATTAGTATCCTTAACTCTTGAAGCATATTTATAGTGTAAACAGATGACAGGTATAGAGGGCTTGGGCGCTGGCTTTGTACTCATCCCAACCTTGTGTCCATGTTGTTTGGTAGCTTGTCTGCCCTTACTCTTTATTTACTAAGTTATATTATTTTATAAAGTTAATGGAGAATTCCTAATTTGAAAAATGTTAGACAGCTTTGGTTCTTTATGTCAGTGTTTTAGATGTAAGTGGTGTGTACTTTTTATTTTCTTCCTACTGTAAGACTTTTTATAAAACAATAGATGCAATTTAGTTGTGTAAGCCTGCATTTTATATTTCCAGTTGTTTTCCTGTGTACACTCTGTGCTTCAGGATACCATGTAGATTTCACATTGAGATTTATACCAGCATTGTTTGAATTTGTTATATTTTGTTTAATTTATGGATTACTAAAGAAACAAAATTTGTCACATTCAGAGTGATCTCACCAGTGAGCTGAGTACCACAATTGTTCGAGCCAGTCCAACTCTACCAGAGGAGCAAGTTATGGAGAACCTAAGAGACAAAATTCCAGGTCATAATGCAGAAAAGGTATCACTCCCATGTGTTATCCAGACTAAGTCTGGTTTAGGAAACATGACAGAAACTCCTTCTCTGAGGAGTGGATTTGAAGATGGAGAACCTAACTTTGCATCCAATCAAGATATTTCTTCCAAAAATGGGGAACCCTTGGAAGCTGGTAAGATGGAGTCAACATCTGGCTCCTGTGAGCAGGATCTGATTGGCCAAGCTCTCCTGAACAAGCCAGGTCTAATCCACCAGTCTGGGCCAGCCATACCGAACCTCCCTGTATTGAGCCAGAAGACTGTGGATCAGAGTCAAAGATTAATATCTACTTGTCTGTCAACTGCCAGCAGTGATTCTAACAGCCAGATTTCTAATCTGGGCACCTCTGGAGACCAGCATAGTCCTGCACCCCACGTTTCAGCTCATGCTTCTGTTGCTAAGGTGCAGAACAAGCCTGCTGTGTGTCCTGCTCTCTGGACTGGACATTCTCTATACACAGCTCCTGGGGCTCCACAGTATTTGGGGCCAGTCTCTTCATCTGCAAATGTCACCTTGTCACAGTGCCATGCAGGCATGCAAGTCTGTGGGATTTCAGGGTATTCTCCTTATCCTCCTGTTGCACCAGAGCTTGTGGCTTCCGGGGTGTATTTAAGACCAAATCTTGCCTCTGGATTGATGGCTCCTTCTTCTCTTTATAACCTGTGTTCTACTGCTGTACACCAGAACTTGCTTACTACGGCAAAGCCATTTCCTGTGCAGTCTGTTGGTACAAACTGTGAAACTGAACCATGGGACTCAGGGATGATGTCTGGATTTGGTAAGATGCATTTTCTTCTTCAGTATTACTTACTGTTACTACCTAAAGGTTGAATTTTATCAAATGAGTCTAAAAAGCTAGTTTGTTTCAAAGAAATATTGATTGGAATTAATTTCTTTAATTTTTTTAATCTTTAAGATTCATTTATATATGAGTATATGCACACATACATGTGCAAGTGCCCACAGGCTAAAAGGATATTGGATCTCTTGGAGCTGGACTTGCAAGAGGGCTGCCTGATCTGGGTGCTGGGATTTGAACTTAGGTCTTCATTATTGAGCAGCAAGTTCTCTTAACTGCTGAGCCAGCTCTCCAGCCCCCCTCCTTTTAGGTTTTCCCCCCCCTGTTTTAAAAGCACAGGATATCAGATTGGCCTTACACTTACTATGTAGGGAAAATGACTTTGAGCTTTTGATCTTCCTGTCTTCACCTCCCAAGTGATGGGATTATAGGGATGCATCACATAGTTTATTTTGGATTATTTCTTACAAGCTCTTTCTTCAACTTATGTTGAGAGCTTCAGAGTGTGTCTATGAAGGGATTACTGAACTTGGCTTAGAACAACAGTAAATTGGTAGTTTCCTAGGTCTTCTCCTGATGTTTCTTTTCCTCTGTACTTGCTTTTGCTATTCTCCTAATTAGGAAATGTCCTCTTTTGGATCATTTCCAGAATGAGTTACCTTCCACTGGTTCTTCATGAGGGTGACGTTGTGGTAGTGAGGAGCAGGACTCTGTTCTCATCCACAGTCTCCTCTACTGATGACAGACACTGGCTCTGTGGAGCTGGGGATTGTACACAGCCCTCCTGAGTGTGAGGATAGGGACAGGGCTAAAGACAGTGCTGTGTAGATTCTGTAGCCAGGCACGCCTGGAAGCAGCCCTCTGGAGCTTCTCTTCACCTGTCAGTGGCTTTTAACTTGGGAGAGAAAAAGGGCCTGACGGCAACAACAAAAATCTATCTCTGTAAATTTGCTGAGTTTGATTAGTTTTGCTTGTGTTGTGTTGTTTGTTTTCCCCAGAACTGTACAGAAGACAGAGATTGTTGGTAGCTTTCACTGAGACTTTTTTTTTGTTTGTTTTTTGTCAAGGATTCAGGGGCATTTATTCTATAGCTTTTTGGTATAAGAGTCCTATGCAATCGTTCCCTTTTAACCATTGGTGCTTTTGGTCAGATGTTCAGTGTAACTTACGTTTTGACTTACTCTTATGCAGGGAATGCCAGAGTACCTGAGGAACTGAGGTTTCCTCATGCTTGCTGTGTAGGCATTGCTTCACAGACCCTCCTTAGTGTCCTCAACCCAACTGACCATTGGCTACAAGTCAGCATCAGAGTTCTCAGTATTTGTGTGAACGGTGAGAAGGTAAGTTTCCCATGTCTTCTCATTGGGCTTCACTGTTGTACTTTGGTTAAAAAAAATTAATCTGTTTTTCCTCCCAGTTCCTGCTTCCGTAATGACAACTCTGAGACTAATTATTTATTATTAAATGCCTAGGCTATAGCTTTGGCTCATTCCCTGACTAGCTCATAACTTATTTAACCCATTGAAAGTATTCTGAGTCTTCTGCGTGGTTAGCTACCACTTCTTCCTTCGGTCTCTCATCTATCCCGAGTTCAGTTCCCTGCAGGTTTACTTCGTCTCCTTTTATTCTCTCACTCTTTTCCAGAATCCTCTCTCTTCCTGTCAGTGTCCCACTTCCTATTTCCTGCCTCAGCTCATTAGCCATCGGCTTTTTTATTGACAGGTGTTGCTTATAAGAGATTCTCTCTACACATGTTAATGACGTGCTTGACTTCCCTTACTCTCCTTAGAAAACAGCAGTCTTTTTGTCCTTTGATAATGCCATATGCACAGACTGTATTTCAGTCCCTCTCTCCCTCCCTAACTACTCCTAGAGCCACCCCTCTTTTCTTCCTTTTTCTAAATGATTAAATTTTTCTTTTGAAAGTTTTTTTTTTATAAGGTTAATTTGTTTTTATGCACATGCATATTTTGTCTGTCTGTCTGTCTGTGCACCAAAATTGTGCAGTGCCCACAGAGGACAGAAGAGGGCATCAGGTCCCTTGGACCTGGAGATGTAGACAGCTTTGAGCTGTCAAGTCTGCTGCAAGAGTGTTCTTAGTCACAGAGACATCTCTATAGTTTTCCTTTGGAAAGTTTCTTTTTGAAGTTTTAGACTGTTCTTTGATACATGATTCTACATGTGTATGATCCATCCTGATCACTGTCTGCCCTCCCCCTCTCGTTTTCTTCTCATCTTGTCATTCTCTTTCCCCTTGCAAGTCCCTTTCCTGTATTCATTTTGTTTTGTGTGTGATTGGTGTGTGACCGCAGGTTTAGAACTATCCATTGATATGTGTAGAGCTCATGGTTAGGTATAGAGCTAAAGACAATGAATCTGTGGATAGACAACAATAGTTCAGCAGGGAAAGGTGGAGCCCATGAAGACCTCCCCAGTTCATGATTAGTTTTGGTAGGCCAGTCTTGCAGGCCCAGTTCAGTCAACTGCAGCTGCTGTGCGGTCAGATTTGCAGTGGCATGCCTGGAAGACAGTAGTTTTCACCCTTTCTTTCCACTGGTTACAGTTTTTTTCTGCTCCCTCTTTTACAATGTTCCCTGAACCTTAGAGGGATTGGTATAAATGTCCTTCCTGTTTAGGACTGTGAGAACTCAGCTATCTTTTATTCTGATACCTTGAGCAGAATCTTTGCATTCATCACTGTTCTCTGCAAAGGAAAGCTTCTCTGAGTAAGGCTGAAGATAGCATTTGTCTCTGGGTTTAAACCTGAATATTTAGCATGTAGTTTGGTACCATGTTTAGCTAAGCTAAACAGTAGTAGTGAGTTCTCCCAGGAGGACTTAGGACCTCCCTCATCATGAGTTTATCTGGTTTACGGTACTTGGTATGAATTTCCTTTTATTAAGCGGGTCTCAATTTCAGTCTGAAAGTGGTTATTACCTACTAACAGTTGTGCCGCTATTGCATGGTGGCTACGTCCTGAGCTTGAGCTCAAGTGCCTCTACCCACTGAGTCATCTTACTGGCCTCCTTTTTGTTTTTGTTTCTTTGTATTTTTAAACAGACTACCTATGTAGCCCTACCTGGCCTGTAGCTTACTATCTATATCAGACTGCCCATGTTTTTTTGTGGTCATCCTCTAGTGTTTGCCTTCTCAGTGCTAGGATAATTAATAGGTGTATACCCCCATGCCTGGCCTTTTCACTCCCTTGCTTATGTCTATGCTGTTCCTGTCTTTCTAACATACATAGAAATATAAGTATGATTCTATTATTTCCTGTTTATAAATGATGGCTATGTGCAGAGCCATTGCTTATAGCAGACACATGTGGGCTGCGGTTAAGTCATTTTGTCTGTTTTTTGTGAGGCTAGGTCTCATGTACCTCCAACTTGCTAAGTAGCCAAGGATGACTTTAGACTTCTGATCCCCTTCTTTCCACCTCCAAAGTGCTGGGATTAATATGCAGACATTATTATGCCCAGCTTTTTTTTTTTTTTTTTCTTAAATCTTTGTTGCTCACATAGAACTTGAATGAACCCAAGTGAACAATTTTGGATCGGGGTCTTTTTTAAGCCCCTTGTTGTACCAGCATTTACGTTGTAAGACATCTAAATGTATTTTACATTTTTCATTAGTTTTAATACTTTTCAATCATTATTTCTTATTTATAAAGCCATATTAATTATCTTTAGCGCTATTATTTTCATCATATTCTCTTTAAAATCTACTGGAGTGGATATAGTTCTTACGTAGTGAGAATGGATTAGTGTTCACTTATTTGCCGGTGGGTATATGCATGCCATAGTACAGGTGTGCAGGTCAAAGATCAACTTGATTTTCTCCTTTACCATGTGAGTTCCAGGGCTCAAACTCAAGTTGTTAAGTTTGGTATTAAGTAACTTTTACCTACAAGTCCACTTACCAGCCATCAAAAAGATTTTTGCTTTTGGAGTGATAATGCCTTTCTGTTAATAGGTTACAAGAGTTGAGTATTTCTTAAGATGTAATGAAGGTCTATATTTCATAGTTTGAAGAAGAATCTAAACTAGATCTTAAACTAGATGATTAACCTCAAAAAAGTAAAGCCATTTCTAACATGCTACCTTGCTCTTATTTACAGGTGGATCCTTCAACACAAACCTGTTTAGTTTTCAAGAATAAAGTTGTAATAAGACCTCATGCCACAGAAGAAGTAAAAATTCTTTTTATCCCCACAAATTCTGGAATTTTCAGATGTACATTCAGTGTTGCTTCATGGTCCTTTTCATCAGATGCTGATACAATAGTGCAAGCAGAAGCTCTGGGGAGCAGAGTCACCCTCACTGCCATTGCGGAAACCCCTGTTATTGAGGTAACTGTTGTAACTGAGTCTCATTTGCTAGTGTTTTAATAAAGGAAGAATTTGTGAACAGATGTGTCACAATGGCTCAAGCTAAATATTTATTGATTCTTAAAATTTATTTTTTTAGATTTATTTACTTTCATGTCTATGAGCGGATATCTCTGTGTGTGTGTGTGTGTGTATATATATATACATATACATATACATATACATATACATATACATATACATATA